AAATATGAAAATCTCAAATCCAGATCCAAGCCAATTCAAGCAAAATCAAAGCAAGCTTCATCTTCCTTGAACTTCATTAAGTGATTCTGCACAGTTTGGCTCGAGCTTAGCAACATTTGAAGCTCCAACGGAGAGACTCTGTTAGGTAACCTTCAAATCTAAAATTCTCTCATGATATGCATTGAATCATTGCCATTGTTGTCGCATCTGAAGTCCTACAGCTTGTAGGCAAATTCTAGTTGCATAATTGTGATGATTGTTGAGATTTCAGTTGTGTGCTTGAATTTTTCTCTCGTTCGATTTGCTTTGTTTGTGCGTGATAAATGAATTTGGATTGTGGATTTGGATTCTACGTAGCTTGGCAATCATTTTGGTATTAAATTTCATGCAATTTGGTGAGGTTTTGAACCTGCAACTCCGATTGCCTTGCCGGAGAAGATGATCGGAGAGTTAGCTCCGTCGTCTGGTTCATTTGCAGGCGAGCTGAGGTGGCTTGCCATGTGTGCGCGTTGAACTTTTGACTTGTTGTGATGAGCGGCTGGGATGAAGCTGACCTTGCCTGCGTGTCTGTTGACCATGCCATGTCAATTAGTGAAACGTTGTGTTTCACTAATTGATCTAATTCAATTTGTTTTAGGCCCAATGTGCTACGTGCACCCCCTAGCAGATCCAGCCCAAACTTTTAGTTGTTTTATTTTTCTATTTGCCACGCAGGGTTTTTCTTATTTGTTTTTTATTTTAATTGTTTTCTGTTTTGTTTTAATTCATTTAAAAATAATTCCAAATGTGATAAAATCCCACAAAAATATTTTTAGGACACTTTAATGTGTCATTTAATTTTTGGAAATTTTTATTTCTATTTTTCAATTATTTTTTCAATTAAGATGGGATTTATTATTTTGAGTTGTTTTTAATTGAATTCTTTCTTGTTCTTAATTGTTTCATGCTTGTTGCTTGGCCAATTCTTATCTCCGAGGATTGAGACTTTTTTTTCATGTGAATGATGAATTGAAGAGTCTTATAGGATGATTTTGGCTCTGGTTTAGTTTATTTTTGTTTGACTTTTGACTCATTTTGTTTGACCCTCGACAACCCTCCTTCAAAGTGGAGCATCCAAGTGAATCAATTTCTATGATGATGCTTTGAAGTGACTTTGGTTGTGATCTTTTAGCCTCTGATTGCCAACTCTCTTAAGTGCTTTTGAGATTTTATTTGGATTTATTTGAGCCTTTTTCCTATTTTTGAGGTAACTTGCAAGTCATGTTACTTCTAAGGGTGGTTCGTACATGCATTTGACCTAGTTTTGATGGGAAATGACCTTTGTGGATCCCTTGAGCTCTCAACTCTTATTGATTCATATTGTCAACATGTTGAGCTTGTTGTTTGTCAATTTATAGATCACATACTTGTGTGGTTTTGTGTTTGAGTTGCATCCCTTTTAGGCTTTCCATTTGAAGTTCAAGTGTTGAATGTGTTTAAGACTTAGGTCTTCTTCCATGCCTATTCTTGCAATTCCTTTTTGTGTGTTTCCTTATTTGGTTTATCACCTTCTCCTCTCATATTTACCTCTGTCCAATGACCCTTGAGTCCCATTCAAGATGGTTTGGTCCCTCCTTTGGAGGTACCTTGAGCATGTCATGAATGGTGATTCTTTGAGGACTCTTTTGTTGTTTTCTTGCATGATCAAGGTGACGCTTATGGTTGAGTGGTCTTTATGAGTTCCTTGCTGTACTCATCTCATCTCTCATCCTCACTTTGTGTTATGTCCTCATCTCTTTTTATTTGGTTTGCCTTTGGGCTTGTGGTTGATGGTAATGGTTGTAGGATTTATTCTCCCATTTCATCCCACTTTTGTGTGCACTTGATTGCTATTTTGTGTGCATTCTTTCTTCTTTATTCTTGCATCTCTCATATGCATGCTTGAGGTTGAGATGTGCTTGTGGAGGCTACTGCCCCACATTTTTTTCCTCTCTCACTTAATTCTAATTGTGCATTACATGTTTGCATATTTTCTTCTATCTTTTGCTTCCTTCTTCTTTCTTCTTTGCCATGTCCCCTTAGGACCTCTAATCTTTCTTGCTCAAGGTAGATTATGATAGACCTTAGGCTTGAACCCATGCATGATAGCATTAGGTAGTATTCCCCTTTACCTCAATCATAGGTACACTTTGTATGAGAACATTAGGTTGAGTTTTACTCTCCCTTTAGAGTGTCTTTCTCTTCTCATCTTAAAACACTTCCAAAACACATAATAAAGGATAATGAATATTGTACGCTACGAGCCTTAAGTACTTGAGAAATGATGATTGGGCGGCTTCCTCTCAATTGTCTAGAGTGTTTAGCGTATGTCCTTTGGACGATATGAGACGCATTCGTTCCTAAGTCATAGTCTTTAGTGCAACATGAGTTACAAATAAAACTCAATTCACTTCTTCTTCCAAAAGACTCAAAAACAAACATCAACCTTTTTTATCCTTCGGGACCTTAATTTGGAAAACCTTTTTCATAAGGAGAGTTTTGTTAACTCTTGGTTCTACCGCAAACAGGTAACGCCTAAATCTCCAATGGTCGAGCTGCATACACCTAACTGCTAGAACTAAGTTTTAACCCTACTCGGGTAAACCATTTGAACCAACCGGTGTTCTTGTTATCCCGAACTACGTTTGCTCTAATTTCTCATACCAGATGAGGATACATAGGCACAAGACGAAGATGTCTTGGCGAGCAACCTTTCCCCACCTTTCACCCGTAGTTTTCCGAACTACGTTGACTCTGACTTTCCCATTGCACGAGGGAATACGTAGTCACAGAGCGGCGATGTTTTATCGAGTCTCTCTTTTATTTTCTTTTGTCCCTGAGTCGTAGCTTAGATAGTTTTAACACCCTTTAGATAGACAACAAAGCGTGGATCCCGTCGAGTACGACGGACGTGAGGGGTGTTAATACCTTTCTCTTGCGTAACCGACTCTCGAACCTAAGACTTGGTTGTGATGACCTGTCTTTTCCCGTTTTCGTTAGGTTCTCTGATTGTTTCCTTTCTCTCTTTTGGGATAAATAACGAACGGTGGCGACTCTTATGTCCTTGTCGGCCCTCTTTTTTACAGTAGCGACAATGCTTTAGTTGTTTATTTTGTTTGCTTATATGTTTTATTTCTTGAGTTTATTGGTATCGGTTTGATATATCTTGGTCGATTGATAGTAAGCTCTTTACAACCGAAACTTCAAACGAGACCCCTCATTACGTTCGACCGCTTACTACCACTAAACCCGACATTCAATTTTCATATTCATCAACTTAACCAATTTTCATATCTCATAAAAGTTAAAGTTTAAGAAGCAAATGTTGAATATATAACATTGGCAAGTTTTATATGAAAAGTCCAAAGATTACATTATCCTCGGAATGATTTACAGGTTGCTTCTACGGTGTATTATGATAATCAATTTGCTATATATCTTATTCACAAATTATATATTATGATAATCAATTTGCTATATATCTTATTCACAAATTATATATTAAAATTGAGAGAAATATTATTCTTACACTAACATATACACTACACCGTATTTTACTGTTCATCAATACAGTGAACAATAAAATATCATAGTAATAAAATAATTTTTAAAAAAAATATATAAAAAAAAATTATATTTAAATATTTATTAATCAATTTTAGAATTTTATTAACCAATTTTTTTCATTGGATTAATTAACTTTATTTTAGTACTAAAAATTATTTTTATATTTAAAAGTTTAATATTCATAACTTAATTAATCAAATTTTTACATGATCAATTTTATTTTACTAGTAAAAATTATTTGATATTTGAACTTTTGTTAATCAATTTTATTATTATATAATCAATTTTTTATATTTTACAACACTGTTCATGTATTATTTATATAATATTTTTATTTGTGAATAGTGTATATAATTTATATAGTATTTTTATTTGTGAATAGTGTATATAATGTAGGTGTAAAAAAAGTGTAAAAATAAAATTACTATAAAATTAATTATCATGTGGATTGTGTGGAAGCTTAAAGATGTATAATTATCTCACGTTTATACCATCTTTCTCACAATTTACTTGATTTTTATAATATTATACTTTTTCAAAAATAAAATTTATAAAACGTAAATTATTTAAATTTCAAACAAAAAATAATTTAAATACTTTTTCATGAAACTTTCTTTTAGATATTAAAATTTTAAAAATCACTTAAACTTTAAAAAACAATTATAAAATCTATTTAAACAGTAAGAAGATTTAAAAAAATACTTAAATTTAAAAATTATATTTTTAAAATATATACTTTATATTAATATTTAATAATATATATATTTATGTTATTGCGTTAAAAATAATTCTTTAATATTATAAAAGATTTGTTTAAAAATAAATCTTTGATTATTATGTAAGTTGTTTTCTTATATATTAATATTTTTTATCAAATAAATATTTTTATATATTTTTGTTGGATAAGGCAAACTGGTGTCCTAAAAGGACAAATTAAAAAAAAATTATTTATAGAAAATTTATATTAAAAAAAGATAGAAAAATTAATTTTAAACATGGCAACATTTTCTCTTATTTTCTCTTATACTCTTATAGTGAAGACACGTTAGTATTAATCATAACTTTGGATTAATCCAATAATTCAGAATTTAAGAAGGGCATGAAAAATAAAATTGGAGAGATCCAATTCCCTAAAAAATACCAAACAAAATGAATCGGGAATCAGTATCCAAACTTTAAAACAAAATTATTATTACTCATTTTATTCCATATGATAAAGTGCATAACAACAAATACGTTATGCACGATACGTTATGCACGATATTTATTACACACATATACTGTATATGATTCAAACAAGACGCAATACATAGATGTAGTGGTAGCTACTACAGCCTGCATTTTATTTATTTATTTATTTATTTATATTATGCGTCTTTGTCTTTGTGTTGGAGAATCAATCCTTCCATCCAAGTTTAACATTTTTGAGTGCAGAAACATTTAAAGTTATGGCACGTGCCACTGATTAAGTGCGCTTTGTTCTTGCAGTGATCATCACAGCTAGCATTCGTGAAGCATACTCCCCTGTATGTATCAGCCAAATGCTCACAAGTTTTTGCCTCTGTCACAACAATTTCTTCTGCATCAAGATGCCAATACAAAGATTAATTAGTATAAAGTAATTATGAGTTTATGAATATTAAACTAAGCAATACTGATTACTTACGTGCAACAAAGAGAACGAGGAAGAGGAAGGACAAGGCAGCTACTGAGTTCTTGTCCATGGCTCAATTAGCGATATGAATATATAAACTTAATATAACTCACTTTAATAACACTTACTTAATATGTTATGTGTGTGTTTGATATATATGTGAAGATCGAAGACATATATATAGCCCCATGGTGCTTGACTAGTAAGAGTTTCAGAAGATCGAAGAAACCGCAAGAAACAGATACGTGGCATTGTGGCAACATATTTTATCACCGAGTTTGAATTTTTAAGGTGAAGAGTCAAAAATGTGGGGCGTTTTCATGTGAAGCTTATCAACATAACCAATGCTAGATAAAAATAATAGGTAAAATAATATATATATATATATATATATATATATATATATATATATATATATATATATATATATATATATATATATATATATATATATATATATATATATATATATATATATATATATATATATATATATATATATATATATATATATATATATATATATATATATATATATATATATATATATATATATATATATATAACTATTTGTGTAGTTTTGTAATAATTTTATTATGATAAAAGAAAATTTCATGTAATATTCATGACATTCTCTTTTCTTCCCTTCCACGCTAACACTCTCTTTATCTTTCTCTCAATTAACTTTCGCCTTCGCAAGGTGTAATAACACCAACATATGGTATCATAACCTGGTTCTAATGCAGATTCAGTATTGATTGTAGCTATGGTTGGAATAGGCGACAACAACTTCCCTGCAAATCTTCTAGTTCTTGATGGCAATGGAAAAAATAGTGCATTCAGATGAGAGTCATCTTCAATTTTCAAAATGTGTTTGAGTATGTAGCAAATGGATTTCAACCGCTAGCAAAAAATACGACTGATGCTCAAAAGGCAGCATAGAGATCCAAGAAGAAAGATCATCAGAAGGCCCTATTTTACATTCACCAATGCATTAAAGTGAAGGTGTTTGTTAAAATAGCTCATGTTGCAACTTTGAAAGAAGCATGAGATATGCTGGAAAAATACTATGGTGGAGATGTCAAGGTCAAGAAGGCATACCTCCAATCTTTGAGAAAGTGGTATGAAATATTGCATATGAAAGAGAGAAAAACGATATCAGATTTCTTCATAGTGGTTCAAAAATTAACCAATCAGATGAAGAATTTTTTAGAGACGTTGACAGAGCAAATAAAGGTTGAAAAGATACTTTGAAGTATCACTCATCAACATGATATGATAATAGTAACAATTTAGGAAACCAAAGATTTGGAAACAATGAAGATGGAGGATCTGCAAGGATATCTTGAAGCCAAAGAATTGAGATTAAATCAAAGAGAGACAAATAAAGATTATGAGCAGAGCCTAATTGCTCATTCAAGAAAGGGAGGTTCTGATGACATGAAGAGAAAGTAGAAGTAGGGAAAAGAAAAGCACCTGAGATAAGCCACACCAAATAACAAAGAGAAGAAGAAATTTGAAGAAAGATCTGAAGCTTCTAAAAGAGGGGGAGGATCTAGCAATTTTCAAAACATGAAAAAGTTTTAAGACAAGAGAAAGATTCAATGCTTCAATTGTGAGAAGTATGGTCATTTTGCTTCAGATTGCAAGTTTGGAAAGGGAAAGAAAAAGACTGGTGTAGAGGAAGCTAACATGGTGCAAGATGATTCAGATTTAGACTCTGTCATGTTAATGATAACCATCTCTAAAGGGGGCTTCAGCTTCTGATGTATGGTATTTAGACTATGGTTGTTCTAACCACATGAGTGGACAAAAGGAGTGGCTGACTGACTTTAACTCAAACAAGAAGACAAGTGTAAAGCTGGCAGATAGCAGAAGCTTAATGGTAGAATGCATGGGCAAGATTGTCATACAAAGAAAGGAAGGTAAAATAACATTGATAGAAGATGTGTTATTTGTCCCTGGTATGCAATGTAATATGATGAGCATTGATCAGTTGGTAGAGAAATGATTCTTAGTAATCATATAAGGAAGGCTTAGAATCAAACTCTCTTCATTCATCAATTCCTGATGAAGAAAGTTGCTTTGGCACAAAAGATATGAGCATCTGAATTTTAGAAATCTAGGCAAGATGAATACTATGAATTTAGTAAACGGATTGCCTAAGATAGTGACACCTGATAAAGCATGTGAATGTACATGCTTGAGAAGCGAAATAGGTTACCTTTTATGAAGTAGTTGTCAATGAGAGTCAAACATGTAGTAAATGTAGTTTAATCTGACATTTGTGGTCCTTTTGAAACTCTTTCTTGTGGAGGAAGCAAGTACTTCATCTCATTTGTAGATGAATTAAGTAGAATATTATGGGTGTACCTGATAAAGACCAAAGGAGAAGTTTTAAACATGTTCAAAAGGTTTAAGGCTATGGCTGAAAAATAGAGCGGAAGACTGGTTAAGATACTCAGGACATATAGAGGAAGGAAATACAACTCCTATGAATTCAAGCAATTATATCATAAAAGTAGCATCTTGCATGAAGTAATTCCCCTTACACACCTCAACACAATGGTATGGATGAAAGAAGGAATATAAACTTGGTTGAAATGGATAAGAGCGTGTTGAAACAAAAGTCATTACCTCATAAGTTCTGGGGTGAAGCAGTGTCTACTGCTACTTATGTATTAAATTGATGTCCTACCAATAATTAAGAGAATCATGTGCTAGAAAAATGTTGGTTCAGAAGCAAGCCTTACATGTATCATCTTAAGTTATTTAGATCATTATGTTATAGATGTCGCTACTCGAAAAATACGCGCAACGACGGGGAAGGCGAAAAGGAAAGGACAGAAGAGTCGCCACCGAACTTTATTTATCCCATGAGGGGAAAGGAAAATATCGAGAAAACCTTAAGAAAAGGACGAATAATATGGTCTCGCAACCATGAACGGGTTCGGAAGCCGGTTATGCAAAGGGAAGGTATTAGCACCCCTCGCATCCATCGTACTCGATGGGAACCATTTGCTTGTCGAATGTGTGAATTTATTTGCTTAAATATTATGCTATAAAAGTGTTCTCCAAAGGGTAAAGAAAGAGGGTTTAGAAACTAAGAAAGGAGGCAACAGGGAAGAAGAAAGAAAGGTCAGACTCGGTAGGACTTCGCGGTCCTAGGCCTACGTATTCTCAACGGATATGAGAAAATCAGAGTCGACGTAGTTCGGGGAACTACAGATATAAGGGGGAATGGGCTCGCCAAGACATCGTTGTCTTGTGCCTACGTATCCTCATCTGGTATGAGAAATCAGAGCAGCCGTAGTTCGGCCTACAATTTGTTGATGTTTTTATGGATGATGCTATCGTACGCATTCTAGCAGTTAGGTGTATTGTTGCTCGCTCGTTGGAGACTTAGGCATTACCTGTTTGCGGTAGAACGGACGTATCATATCCTTTTTAAAATATTAGTTTTCGCCATGCGAGGCAAGATGTCACATTTGATTTGTTGAATTGTTTCTTTTAGGGGCGAGATAGGTCCTCGGACAGTAACCCCTACGGGTAGTACCCAATCCTTTATCTCAAAGTTTTTGTTATAAAAGGGGTGTGGCGAACATAGCGTCTTCGTATTGAAAGACGAGTATCAAAACCACACACGCTACAGTGAGCATCTCGACACTCGGAGAGGAAGAAGTCTACACTTAATCCTCTCTCTTTAGTTCAATACAAAGAGAACTTCATTCTCTTATTAAAGTGTTTTTGGTTTTGAATGGTAAGTGCTTTTGCGACGGAGAACCCTACGGTAAACGTCAGCACTCGGGATAGGAGAAGGCTTACGCCTAACCACTCCATGACCATTCAAGTTTCCGTTATGAAAATAAGTTTGAAAATGCGCTCGGTACAGGACCGAGGTTTTTAGGTGACAAAGGTTGCGGGAGGAATTTGTAGAAGGAGATAGGTGGCAGATAGAGTCACGTCTTCATATTGAAAGATGAGTATCGAGACCACCCACACTACAGTGAATATTCCAACACTTGGAGAGGAAGAAGTCTACATTCAATCCTCTCTCTTTAGTTCGATACAAAGAGAATCGATTTATTTATTGTAAGTGTTTTGAAAATGCACTCGGTACGGGGCCGAGATTTTTTAGGAGAAAAAGGTGTGGATGAAAACATCTTCGTATTGAAAGACGAGTATCAAAACCACCCACACTACAGCGAGCATCTCGACACTCGGAGAGGAAGAAGTCTACACTTAATCCTCTCTCTTTAGTTCAATACAAAGTGAACTTTATCCTTTTGTTAAATATGGTGAGTTGGTTTAACCATTATTCGAGAAAATCCGCTTGACGTTGGGTCAAGGGTTTTAGTTGCTTAAAAAGATTTGAGGTGAAGCGAGCAAGGTCGATGGTGACGCACAAGGCAATCGGCTTACAAGGTCAAAAATGGCTCGATGAGAATCGAGAGTTTGTTTTCTTGAAAATAGTTTTTAGAACCAAAGGTCAAAAATGACCAACAATAAACATGCACAAAAACCAAACAATCACAACGGGTTAACCGACTTAAAAAAAACAAAACACAAAAAAAAACGGCACGAAGCGAACTCCTTGAGAAAAAAATTTTTGAGGTAAAAAAAGCGAAAAGAAAACGTGAAAAACAGGGGTGTGACACGGCCCGTGTCACAGTTCCAGAGAAATCAGGTTTTTGAGGCAAACAGCGGCGTGACACGGCCGCCCGTGTCACAAGCTCTGGGCCAAAAAGGTTAAACAGAGGTGTGACACGGGTGACCGTGTTGTGTGACACGGCCCGTGTCAGGGGACTCAGGTAAAATATGCCATGAAAACTCAAGCAGAGATGTGACACGGGTGGCCGTGTCAGGCTACCAGGGTGAAAAATCAAACTTTTCTCTTGTTTTTTTGCTTCTTTTTGTGGTTCTTAAAAATGGTTTCTTGGTCCCTTTGGAATCTTACATGTTATACTCAATACAACAACACTCAAACCACGAGAACAAATGATAAATGCACAATATAAAAGAAGAGAAGAGTTTGAAGAAATGGATACCCAAGAGTTGTTACCCTCCTTG